TAAGGAAGGTAATTTACCATATTCATTTACTTTCTGACGAAGGCAATGGCATGCTGCCGAAAATTTAAGTTATATATTTTTTATTAATTCATAAATTTTCCTTGGAGTCGTGGCAGTGTTATAACCTGCCTATATATATATATATATATATATATATATATATATATATATATATATATATATATATATATATATATATATATATATATATATATATATATAATTTGTTATCTTAAAATGTTTCAATTTCTTGCTGAAAATGAAACATTTTAACAAATTAATTCGCTCTGCTAAATAATTTGTAGTATTGAGCATGCACTCCTTTATCTATAACGAAAAACAAAACTGTTTATATATATTTCAAAAACTCATTAATAATTCATGAAGCAATTATCCAATCTTGAGTAAGAAATTAGTCACGTGCATACGTCTTTATACCAGCTAAAGAACACTTTAACAAAAGACCATTGTTATGCAAACTATATAAAGATTTTTATATAAAGATTTTTATATAAAGATTTTTATATAAAGATTTATATATAAAGATTTTTATATAAAGATTTGACTTATTATGCATACGTTTTTGAAGTCATTTAAAAAACTCGCGGGTCGTGTTTTATTAGGTCTAAAGCCACTCGCGCTCCGCGCTCGTGACTTTAAACCTAATAAAACACTCCTGCTCGTTTTTCAAATAATCACTTAAATCAGCACACACCGATCTATATCACGGTATATAGGGGTCATCATGTGACGAGATTTTAAGAAATTCATTGGCTAATTAGCTCATGAATTACTCATGAATTTTATATATATATATATATATATATATATATATATATATATATATATATATATATATATATATATATATATATATATATATATATATATATTAGTGTGGCGGATATGTGCATGGTTAAAAGCACCAAATTGTGCACAGTAGCATCTTTTTTATGAGTAGAACAACATGCAAAAGTGGGGCCATCGTGAAACCGGTTTTTTCAGAGAATTACGATGCTATTAGCATTATTTGCTATTAAATTCTAGTACAACAAAAAATGTGAAATTTTGAATTCAATCGCGACAAATATAACTTGCATCACCAGAAAGCTTGTTAAAAACTACATAAAAGACTTTTAAACAGTTTTTTATTCTTCAAATGGTTATTGCTGTAAATTAGGCACATTATC